ATATATATATATAAAATCCTTTGGTAAGTCACAAACGGGAAGAGCACGCATAAAATGTTCTTTAATTACAGACATCTGACGTTTCGGACCAAACATATATATATGCGATGTTAAAAAACTTTGACCCTCTACTGAAAATTGTTTTCGTTTGCATAATCTTTTTCACGCAGACAACGAAATAAATGTACAAGTCTGCGCGCTACTTTCCCTACGGATTTCTCAGATCCTGAATGTACAAGATATATGAATAGGCTTTTGTTTTTACCTACTAAAATTATTCATTTAAAATCATCTGTCATTTTTCCGTGTTGCCGTCATTTCAAATCGTCGTTGCCTACCTCAGAAGGTTATAAATGAATGATTTCTTCATACACTCGTCAAGAACTAACGCAGGTGATAACTGTCGAAACTTCATTCCCATTTGCAGTGAGAATGTCTCTCATTCCTGACAGAAGTGCTTTAGTAGGCATATGGCGTTATATCGATCTTGGGCGGTGGCAAGTGGTAATGCGGTCGGCATCGAATGCCGCAAGTGCTGAATTCAATTCCGAAAAAGAAAAAGTTCCTCTTAACCGTTAATTCCCTTGAGCAAGAAATTCATCTCGCGTTGCTGCGATGCCACCAGCCGAGGAAAGAGTAACAGGTCGTAAGTTAACCTACGAACAACAAGGACACCATACTATCTGACGAGTGCTTCCTAAGGCCACAGTTCGTCCTGGCCAACCTGACAGCTAACTATCCAGTGCAATGATCTGTGTAATGTGTAAATTCGGTAGTTGTTCGTGATCTTAACAGCAGTTTAGTCAAAATATTACAAGACCACAAAGCTTCTAGTGCACAGGTCGAAAACCATATTTCTCAGCATTATAGAAATTATAACGAATATAACTGCAAACATGATAATCTTGAAATCATGGTACGTTGCACATATTATTCAAGGCAGCAAACGTTCGCTACTGCAGATACTATGCCTTCCAACATTCTGCCGATATCGTTTATCTTTTCCTCTCTTACCGAGTGAAAACACGAGCGGCGTGCTCAGGTTTCTGTCAGACTCTGCGTTCATCTAATGGCGGCTGACGAAACGTCACACGGTCCTCGATAGAAACAGTAACCTCGTCAAGGCTAAAGTAAACAATTATCGACCGCAATGACGAAGCAGAATAAGACACGTTGCAGAATTTACCATTCACACAGACGCTGACAAAAAGTACAACATAAAAGGTTTCCAATATTTTATATATCTTCTTCGATTTGCTTCAACGACCAAATACACGTGCCTCAATCAAATACCGGGTGATCGTCGTCTAAAAATCCGTGCAACCACATCGATTGTTTGGTTTGCAACATGCCGGATGGAACGGAAGGAATCGAAGAGCAAGTTTTGAGTCTGCGAACGCCTGAGCAGCCATCGATCGATTTAGCGTCAAGAAGGTGGCAGATTTCTGTTCGAAGAGTGCGATCAATCCGAAGACCGTCTTATCGTGCCGGTCGTCAAGCGTCATTAGGCCGTCGAGGACGCTTCAACTACGATGGCGAGTACCGAGGTGAATTTTCAGAAACTAGAAAATCGACCATTTTCTTGATCAGGTCATTTGAATTTCTGTGATTAAATCACCTGATTTAACTTCAGGCCGGTCTACCATGGCGCATTAAGAAACGCAGGTTCTGGTAAAAAATGTCTTTGATCTAACTGTAAGCTAGATTGCTTTCTAATACACCAATAAAGGAAAAAGAGAAAGAAACTGATTTTTTTTGACATGTCAGTGCATCGAAGCCAAATTTTTAAAAATTGCCATTTATGACCATATTGTATGGCTAATGAGGAGACTCAAAATATTTCAAAGTGTATCAATCCGAGATACCATCACTCGTTATCCCACCTTGTCGATATGAAATCAGGACGGCACTGACAATCAAAGGAAAAGAGACGTATGATGAAAAGAGGTTAAGAAGACTGCTTTTTCACAAGACCTTTTCGAAAGACCTGAGAATAACAGACTAATGTAATGATTGTTAATGCATGATGATGGGTTTCGGTGTTATGCAGATTGAGAAGATCGGAAGTGCTGAATAACTTCATAAAATCCAGCATTTTACCGATCTTCTTCTACACTATTTTGGACTGCTTCTGCAGTCTCAGGTAAAAACAACTTGCTCGTATCCGGAGATTTCTGAAGCTATTTGGTTGACAGCAGAATTGGGGCTCCGTGGAATTCGAGTGCATCGTATCCAAATGCTTGATAAAGGCAACCGTTGCTGTCTGCTGTTCTTTCCTAACCGAACCAACTAATCCAGAGTTTTCAGCAGTGCCTTTTGACGCGGGCAAACGAGCTTGCGATCGCCTCCCACGTTAAATCTGTTCAGGAACATGATGTTCTGGACTGCGCTCAGTGACAATAAAATCGATATCATTTTTGACGGCGTTTGCGCCTTGCCATGTTTATCTTTTGTTTATGTTGTATTTGTATATTTTTGTAATTCTGAAGATCATTGGCTAATTCTAAAGTGATCTTGCAAAGTGGTAGAAGTGACAAGAATATTCTCTGATTAACAGGAAGGAAGAAAACTGGTATAAGTGAAATAATGTTGTCGTGAGCAATAGCGAGCTGTAAATTAAAATCAGCTATGATTTCCTTGCTGTTTTCGAATCAACTGAAATAGAAGTGAACTCTAGAGGAGGACAAAAACGCCGCTTATCGCTTGTTTATTTCCGTCCTTCTGATCTTCTAGTCATACAGTATCGTTTTACAATTCAGTCGATCAAAAAGTGTTTTACAGTGTGCTAGCAAATCCATAACATCCCTAGTGAAGGGCTCTGCATCCATGCATTGCAGGCATGCAAATACCATGAAACCGGGCCTGCTTAAATGGCCCCCTAGGCGACTAGAAGCCAGAAGAAGGTGTCATTACGCCGATTCAATCCGGTATC